TCCACATGGCGAGGCAGACCTCTCCTGACCCGCCCACTGCTCTCCTCAGCAGTGTACTTCGTCGATCTGCCTGTTCTGCTCCCCACTCTGTCTCTGGTGAATCCTCTCACTGCCCCTTGTACCCCAGTTCTGTATGCATAAATAAATAAATCTTTTTAAAAATTTTTGGGATCAGGTTATCTAGTTGTTGTAGTAGTCTGCTGATAAGTCCAACAACTCCTAACAGCATTTCTAGGATGTCTCCCCAAAAGGAAAGTACCACCAGTCTGAGCAGTGTTTCTCAGTGAGGGAGGGCTTGGCAACAGGGCAATCCTCCAGGTACATTGGCAATATGGGGAGGTCTGGTGTTACTGAAGGGCTGGCACTAGTGAGAGAGGCCAGGGTACACTCTACCATCCTGCGAAGCACAGGCACCTCCCCCACCCCAGGGCATTCTGGGTCTCAGGGTTCACAGGGCCTGAGGTACCTGCAGACTGGCTTTCTGCCACAGGCCCTCTCTTTTTTTTTTGAATATTTGACTATTTCATGGTCCTCAACCTTCTCAAATGTTCTAGAAGAGTAAAAAAAGAACTGATAGATCCAAATATAGTGTCTCGGGCATTATTTTCTTCAGCAATATAGGTCCTCACCCCTTTCTATCCAAGGGTGATACAGTTGGTGGTGTCAGGACAAAACAAAACAGACACTTGCTTTTCCAGCTCCCCTTTCAGCCAAATAACAGGAGAGGACCTGGACATTTCTGGTCAGATGTGCCAGCCAGACTCTGGCCAGAACTTCAAAGAATGGGCAGTCACAGATGTCCCAAGGCATGACCACAAAGGTTCTCAATTGCAGGATTTGGTGGTAGTAGCAGCAGTTTCCTCAGGCCTCCTGAAGCTGGGCATGAGGCCCTGAAGCAGCTGGCTAGTCCTCAGCCTTCCCTCCCTGGCAATTTTATGGGTTTTTAAATACCCTGTGGTAAATTACCCTTTACTTTCAACATGTGCCCATTTCTCTTGCTTGCAATCAAGAATTCTGGCTGATACACATGATTTATCATATTGTGAGAAGCATCAGAGGCCAGAGATTTTCCACATTGATTTAAGTCTCTCTACTGCTAGAGGAATGCTGAGAAGAAACATTCAGTATCAAAGTATACAATTTTCCTACCCAAAACACCAAGTATAAGACTAGATTTAGAAAGTGGGGGGAGTGTATGTCATGGTTGTGTCAAGAATTGGAAAGGTTCCTCCTCCAATATGCACTTTGTTGTCACCAGTCTGAATGTGAGGGGTAAGATTTGCACCTTGGTATAATCTCAAGGCAACTGGATTTTGAAGACGTTAAACTACACATTTGCCTTAATTTCTGTTCTTCTGGAATAGTTTGGTGATGATTAGTAACTTAGAGTTATTTGACCATGAAGCCTATGTTGAAACCTGCCTCCAGCACAGAGTGGAGGTGGGGGTTAGGGATAAACTGATGGGGGTGGTAACAACTTAAAGGGAAGAACAGAAAGGCAGAGTTAGCAAACAGCTAAATGCATTTCTGTTCTTTGGAAGCTAAATCAATGTGGATTCACTTGTTCTCACTATGCAAACAATGCAGGGTCTCCCTGGTCCTCTGAGTGACATAGGATGGGCTGAGTTGGTATTTTCCTTGACTGTCTTGTGTGTCTTCTCTGATTCCCCAAGTCCCCTTCAGGTTTACATGCCTCACATGGTGGCTTCTCCTAACTCCTGGACATTCCTGTTTGGGGCCAGCAGCCTGTGCCACCACTGACAGATGGGCTGAGTGGAGAAAGGCCGATGATGCACTAGCAAGGCTGTTCCAGGGGCACTTGCAGAAACCTCTTATCCACTTGTCCCTTCTTTCTCAGATACCTCTGGATAGGGCTGAGATCTTCACTGCCCCGTGGGAAGCAGGAGTGGGCCAGAACGCCCAAACTAGCTGTTTGGCTGCAGAAAAACCAGGGTCAGCTGGGCAGATGTAACAGGGTGAACTCCTTTTTTCAAGAGGCCCAGGGGCCCTGGGAAGCCTGGGAATAAGAACCACGGGTGGGAAGAGCAGCAGAGCGGGCAAGAGGGTACTGGCTATGTCACCAAATTCTTCAGAAATGGGGGAAGAAAATACACATTACACTAAGTGGTAATATTTAAGTCTAGTTTATTAAAAAAAACATAAAATGTATGTGTATATATATAAGTATTGTATGTGTATATATATATGTATTGCATTTCGTTTAGTATTTAACACATTGGAGACAGACTTGTTGACCGCCCCCTACAGTCACTCTTCCCTTTTTGGAAATGGGACCTCAGCTTTAGGTATCTGATGGAAGATTCCCTGGCCCAGAGATTGCCCATTGTTGGTCTTTCCTAGACCAGATGATCTAGGTTTTGTATGATCTGAAGTTTCCATAATTAGGGAGGAAAGCTTTTTATGAGGAAGATTATATTTCATGTGAATACAAAATTAGGTATAAAATGACTTTTAGAATGAAAAAATATTAAATGACAAAATTAAAAAAGCTAAATTTCCACAAGTGTCACAATGTCCATTTGTATTAGGGCATTTCTTTCCTCTAGTTTTGGCTTCTGTCCTTTTTGATCACTTTTAGATTGATTTATTTTTCTTGTTGCTTCTACATTTTCTTTAGAAGGAAGAGAAAAATAATTCTGCTTTATCAAAAACTTGAGGCTTTAGAATTGGAAGGATCATCCTATAGGATGAATTGGAAGGAATTGGAAGGATCATCCTCACTGCTATAGGAATTGGAAGGATCATCCTCACTGCCCACATTGTCTCTTACACCCCCATATGCCACAGGCTCACAGGCCATTCTTCCTGGGCACTGGTCCTGCAGTTTTGTCCTGGGAGCTGCAGCTTTCCTGGGCTACTACAGTCACTGCCTGGGCTCAGACATGACAGGGAGCTGCAGGGGCACCCTAGGAAACCCAGGCTAACCCACTGCCCATTCACGTTCCTTAGCCTTATCCTTATTGCTGCCCTGAGACACCAAACATGAAAGGGTGTGAGTTGGGCACAGAGACTTCTCTTTGTAGTTAGTTAAAAATTTAACAAATGACCATGGGTGTGCCTTAGGGCCTCTTCCAGAGCCTTGGAAAGAGCCAGGCAGAGAAAGGCCTGAAGCTTCAGCCTCATTAACATCCTGGCCTTGACCTGTGATGGAGGCAGGAAGCCAACTCTGCTATAGGAGGTTCAGCCAACATGCAGCAGGGAGGAGTCAGGGTGACAAGGGAGACTCAGCTGGCCTTTTCCTTCTACTGCATGCTGTTGAAAGCCTGGACTTGGCAGTGTTCTTTCATCCAGAGAGGAAAGCCAGGTAAACTTCAATGAGTCAACCCAGGCATGACGGATGCTGTGTGAATGAATTAGCCAGCTTTCTGGGTTTCTGCTTCTGAGACCAGCGGTTCTCATCCTTGTTGAAGCAACTGGTCACTGGTTATTCTGCTAGTTGAACCTAGCAGAGACTCCATGTGATGGAAAGAACCTGCTCTGGTAAATCCCAACTACAGGTCTAGTCTCAGCCCCACCTGACAGTCATCCCCACAAGGTGTTCTGGGTTTCCAACAGGGGAAGACTTGGTGGCCTTGATGGCCTTACTGCTCTTCCACCTATGCCTTGCTGCATTTTCATTAGAGCCCATTTTTTTTAGCAGGACCCCCCATTTGCATTTCTTTCAAAAACTAAACTCATATGTTCAACTTTCCAAAAATCCCAAGGTGGAAAGAAGCTAATTTATAAATATTGATACTTCTGCCCAGACTGGAGTCTGGGTGTGGGCTCATTCAGGAGTCAAGAAGTTAAAGTATCTGTCACCTCTGATTTCCTAAGGAGAATGTTGCTTCTACCTTCCCCAGTACACAGCCCTCCATCTGCCTTGTAGAGGGATTCCTCACCCCTCACAAGAATGAAGGGAATGTGATGGCATAAACCTTTGTATGTATGGAGTAAGCATGTACCCACACTGAAGGCCAAAAGCAGATTGTGTAGCTGCTGCTCATCTTGTTTGGGGGACAGCTTTCTCTAGTGACATTTCCACTGTTGTTCCATTGGTTGAGAGCCACTCCCTTTTATCAAGGTGGGACAGGGCAAGAGAAGAAAATACAATCATTAAGCAAACTAGTACCTGCCACCCTTCGACAGAAGACACTATGGACAGTGAGGGCTCATGTAAGTGATAGGAACTACCCTACCTGGCCGCTGGAAATTCATTGGGATGAAGACTAAAGTTCCATAGGCTTAGATGTCCAAAGCTTGGGCGAGCTTACAGGCTTTGTAAGGAAATGGGAACTACCACACACTGGCTGAGGTAAAGTAGTGTCAGAAAGGAACTTCCAGAAACAGCTTCAGCACTGTAAGGTAAGACCATCATCTTGTTTTCACAGAAGTACAGTGTGAATGATTTCCACATGGAAACACTCTCCAAGTAAAGGTCTGAATTGTGGTGGGCACCTGATTTAGGGTCATCACTGACACCAAAATGTGCCCTGTTCTTCATCTCCACAGAGTTTGGTGACAGCTTTCCATAGCAAAAGTCAACACAGAGGACATGTCCTCAACTCCAGTGAAACATATGAAAGTAATGAGGATAGATGGTATCTGTGATAAAATATTTTAAAGTACATCTTTTATACTGTAGCTTCTCAAAAGACAGCTCAAAAATATGAGAAGATGTTGAAATTTTCCACATCCTCAGGTAGAGCCATCAGCACTGCCTTAACATGAAAACAAGGAATCTCCCTAAAAGTTCAATCTGTAATCCAACCAAACTTTACTCATACCTCAAACAGGAGCTATTCTAAGGAAGATTCAGAAATTACTAACACATAAACTGAAGGGGACATAAAAGTTTTGACTCACACGATAAAAACAATACACACGAAGGAGTGTACTATCAATACAAGAATGAGCCTAAAAGGGGGAAAAAAATGTGCAACTCATCCAAACGAAATATTAACCTTGGGATTATCAATTCTTTATTAGAAATTTCCATATCTCTTTTCAGTTTATGAGATAACTGATAAATAATCCCTTGTAATGTTTCCAAAACATGTCCAATCCCTGCTCTTGTCAGCCATCTTGAAGTAACATAAGTTTATTTGGTAACAGTGTTCAACAAATACAAAGCAAAATGAGTGCCAGGACTGGCTTGAAATGTCAGTGCTAATCAGTGTTGCTCTCCACAGAAGGGCTAGTGGATGTGCCTGATGTTGTGACTGGGCGGTTTCCCTTCGGCTGCTCAGAAGAGTGCTTAAGGGGCACTTGAGGGATCCTGACTCTCCTGGTGAAGAATTTCATAGAGAGGCAAGGGAAAGTATGGCTTTACCTCAAATCTCTGTAGTTAAAAGGAATAGACAATTACCTGATTTCTAAAGAAATCTGTGGAAAATGGCTAAGTTGCTTTCTAAATTGATCACTTTCTAAATGTCTTCTTGGTCCAAAGGCTTTGAAACATTCAAATAGTAATTGGGCATCTTGATTTGATATGGGGGAAAAAGGGAAATAAAAGTCTGCTCTTTCAGCCAAGCTTTTTCTCTTGTGATTCTCTAATTAGGCTGAGTAGGTGCAGGGGCTTTGAAGGAATAATTATGTCATTAAGGAAGAAATCTGAGTTAGGGCTAAAGTATCTCCTCACACTATAAAAACTTACTGCCAAGTCTTCCTAAGAGATCACTGATTTATTCTCAGAAATCTGAGGGGTTCTCATTCCACTGACATGTGTCCATCAGAAGCCATCTGATTCTTTTGTCTTGTGGACTTAGTGAGCCTTTCCTCTGCATGGCAGCTACACACTCCTGAGACTTCCCCACGCAGTGCTGAAAGGAGCTCTTTGGCCAGTTTTCTTGATTCAGGTGCTTCCACAGAAAGATGATCCCATCTGTATAAGGCCTGTTCGAGAAAGCCAATAATCTCACAGGTTATTGCATTGGATTGAGCCATCTGCAATAAGAACATAAGAGAAAGCAGATCAAAACACTTTCCAGACAGTTTCATCTGTCTGTCCAGTGGACCAGCCATAACCATCGTCCCTGAAAAGCAGCCATATTCCTTAGAACCAAATGACTCTTGTTTTATTTTCAAGATGATTAGCAAAGCAAGTTCATTCTCAGAGATTGGCGTTCCAGTGAGCCGTCATCTCCTGATGCCATCCTCTTCTGACAAATGGCCCAGACTCAGGGGCTACAGACAAGCTTGGATGGCTGTCACAGGTCTGGGATTTTTCATATGTGGAGCCAAGGAAAACAAACATGCAGCAGCTTGACTTTCCACATAAAGTTGCACTAACAAGGGAACTGGAAATGCTGGGTGGGAAATGACACCTGTTTTCACACAGCAGCTTTAAAAATGGCATTTTCGGGTTAGCAGCCAGGCCCCCTTGTTTTTTCATAGGCACATAATGTTTTAACACCTGATTCTCACAGGGAAGCAGGAAACACAGGCATTGTTAGTTCTGGTAAATACAGCCTCTGGGCATTCTTGATCACTGGAGCCCATGAGTATTTTCCTAAGAATTTCAGTTGAGCGAGGTGAGAAGTTCACAATTCAGCATCATGAAGAATTGATTGTGAATTTTTAGACACAAGTACATTAAGAAGGCTTGTTTTTTTTTTGAGAATAGTCGACTAGTTTTTGTGTGTGAGAGTTTATGCTGACCCCACAGTCAGTGTTCAACGCCCGAAGCCTAAGGCCAGCTGCTGTGCCATCTCTAAGCTGGGTCATTCTGGTAGCAGGACCAATTGCCCAAGTTCCCCAGGGGCCATCCTGGTTTTAGGACTTAAAAGTCCTATATCACAAGAGATCCCTCCCTCCCCTACCACAACCTTCTGACCTCCAGACCAGGTGACACTCTAGTGGCAGCTGATGGTACAACACTGCAAGCAACCTTGAGAGACAACTGGAGCAATGCTGGGGGTAGGGTAGGCTACCAGTCTGGCTGGGCTGGCAGAGCCTCTCAATTGGTTTTAACTTAAGAAATCTCAGATACTGTCAAAAACTTTCCTCAGAATCAGCCTGTCCTTTGTGGACAAAACAATGTGACCCTCCCCGGAATGTCTTTCAGTGGGGAATCAGCCTCCCGCTCCCTGCCGTCTGGGGTCACCACGCCAGAGCAGGGCAGTGTGGTCCTGACTGGTGACTCCAGGCCACATGTGCTCCACAGGCCAGTTCAACTCCAGTCCAGGCCTCCAGCCACACTTCAAGTTTACCTCACTGCAGCTGAAAGTGGTAACCTAGCTCCATTTAGGCCGGCTGAGGTGTGTCTGTGTAACAGTTAAGTTCATTTTGGCTTCAAGGGCTATAGAACTAAGCCTAGATTTCAGATTCTTGCTAACTTTTGGCTATTACTTCTGTGGCCCAGCAACAGAAGGGCAAAGGAGAAAGTAACAAGTTCAGGGCAGGGCGCAGGCAGGAGAGAGTCTAGGGCAGGAGGAATCCAAATACATGAGGCTGTTCCCTCCTTCATCTGGTCAAAAGGCTCAGAGGATGGGGGAGAGAGGGGATGGAAATGAGGAGCATTGTAGCTAAAGAGCCAGTAGCCAGAGGACAAAGGGTGGGGAGGGAGGGGCAGGTATTCTGAGGAATGACTTCCGTGGCAGAAGCTGACAGCTGGGCCTGTGTGCAGACTTGGAGGAAGCAGTGTGTGTGTGTGTGGTGTGTCCCATAGCAGAAGATGTGTATGGGATTACATGGGGAGACTGGAGGGCCAAGGACCCTTTGAGCTGAAACCAAGTTCCTCAGGTGGTGCTTCCGCACCAATGGTAAGCTTAGTGGAAACATGGAAGGTGGTAAAGAGAAAGAGCAGTCCCCAGGCTTAGCAGGTGTGTAGCTCTCCAGAGCAGATACCAACACAAGGGGGATGGGACTGTGCTAGTTGCAAGATCTGCTCAGGCCTCCCTGAGTTCACATCAGAGCATCAGAGGAGGCCAGGTGAGGGTCCTATGGGTAGTGAAAACAAAGCCTTTGTCCCACAAAGCCAACACTGCCACCATCTGGCCACCATGGAGGGAGGGGAGGGGAATTAAAGGCTGGCAGCTTGCAGAGGGCTCCTCCCTCTGTCCTGTGTATTAGCTGGAGTGCTGGCAATCTGACTTTGGCTAGTACAGAAAGTCTTGGAGTTAGGAAGGCTGATGTGCTGGTAGAAGCTGCTTTAGAACATCTGCAAGGATAGCATCTAAGGAGATTCTTGGCTGCTATAGATTCATGATGCCCAGATGGCAGGCACCTACCCACCAAAGGCCAGTACAAAAAGATGAACACTAGGGTGAATTTTGTGTAGCTGAGTTTACTTAACAACATTCAGTGCAGAGGCATGTTGCCCTAGCTCAGGCCCTGGGGAGCAGCCTTGATGCGTGGCTGGGATTGATTTGTGCTGTGGAGATGGCTGCCCAGCACAGGCAGCAGACCTAAACTTCCTGCAGTTCTAGCTCATTCACAGCAGCTCCTCTGCAGTGAGTATGTGGGTGGTCCACTGTGAATATGGACTGTTCTGGAATGAATAGAAATGTGGTTAGAATAACAGAGAGATCTGGATGTCTCCAAGGAGCTTTCTCTGTATTTTGTGTTGACATCCCTGGTCTAGGAACAAGGTGAGATCTGGTGTAGGCCTGCTTATCCACTCCAGGGAGAGAGGAAATAAGAGAAGCAGGAGTGTCAGAGGTCAGGCAACAAAAATGCTTCCAACACTTTCATGAATCAAAAGTGCCTGTTGTTGACTTTTAAAAATAACTTTAAGTTTAAAGCAACTTTATATTTACAGTTGTATTGAAAAGACAACACCAAAATCTGATTCCCTCCTCCCCCCAAGTTTTCCCCAAACATTAACATCTAATATTTGTATGGTGCATGTGCCACCATTAATCAACATTACATATATATACACACACACACACACACACACACACACACACATACATACATACATACATACATATATGTATGTATGTGTATATATGCATATATGTGTGTATGTATATATGTATGTATAGAATATATATGTATATGTATATATGTATATATATTAAAGATTTATTTATTTATGCATACAAGAACTGGGGTATAGGCCAGATGTGCAGGGAGAGGGAGGGGTGGTAAGATAATTTACCAAAGTAGGGAGCAGAACAGGCAGGTCTAGAGAAATGCACTGCTGAGGGGAACAGAGGGCAAGTCAATAGAGGTCTGCTGTACCATGTGGGTGACCTCCCTGGTGGAGAATCGAACTTGTGCTTCAGTGGCTGTGAATTGCTTCATATTGCTGTGCTTTAATCCACTGTGCCACCAGGGAGGGCCCTCAACAGATATATTCTTATTAACTAATGGTCAGACAGTATTCTGATCTCAGTTTTTCTTTGAAGTCCTTCTGACTGAGAACCTCATCCAAGATGTTATATTTAGCCATGTCTCCTGAGGCTTTTCTTAGCTGTGATGCTTTTTCAGACTTTCTTTGTTTTAGATGAGCTTAACAGTTTTGTAGTGTACTAGTCAAGTATTTTGTTAGGTGCCCTTCACTTGGATTTTTCACTTGTCTTTTCTCATGGTTAGTCTCAGGCTATACATTTTGGGGATGAAGACCACTGAGATAAAGTGCCATTTTCATTATATCAAGGATTCAAACTAATTTTGACCCTGATTACAAGAAAAGTGGTTATTATAACTTACACCTGGCCAGAGAGAAAGTTTCACGGCATACAGGAATTTTTGAGCTCTTACCTACGAAGTTCTCCCACTCTACATACACTGGGAATTAACGTGTGCATTTTTTAAAGTCTGCAACAAATCACTGAGCTAGGGTGGGCCCTGGAGGCAAAGATACCCACCATGCAATATTTGAGTCATCTCCTGCTCTTGACTAAACCCAGGCTCATCAGAGGTAGGGACTGGCATTTTGGGTGCCGAGGCTCCACTCCACAAGCTGTTCGACCAGGACTGAGAAAAGCATCCTGGGCACTGACCCATAGGACAGTCCTATGTGCTCCTCAGAGTCTGCACATTCACCTCAAGCAGAGGCTCCCTGGATGGTAGCAGGGGGATCTCTGACCCTGGGGACATTCCTCTTTGGTTTGGTGCTAGTTATGAGGGTATTTTTGGTCCGCGGAAATTCATCAAGTAAGTATGCACTTTCTGTATGTATGTTACATATCAATAAAAAGTAAAAACAAAATAGTGATAAAAATTTGAAGAGCCAGAATGTTGATTTCATGTTGCTTTGTTGATTTTTATTTCAAAAATGAGCAATTTTTACTCCTATGCTCATTGTAACTCTATTTACAATAGTCAAGTTATGAAAACCTGAATTCCAAGGACCAAGAAGTAGAATAGAAAATGTGCTATACACACCTGAAAATGTGCTATACATACACACAATATTCAGCTATGAAAAAAGGAACTCTTAACATTTGCAACAGCAGAGAACTGGAAGGGATTAAGTCAAATGAAGTAAGTCAAGAGGATGACAGTACTAGATGGTTTCACTTATACAGAAAACAGAGAATTGAAACAAAGGGTAAGACAAAACGAAACCAAAAACAAATCTGACTGTAGAACTGAGGATACAACAAGGGGCAGAGAGAAGGGAGGAGAAAGGGTTGGGAGCACAATGGACTACAATGAAGAGATGAGGGAGTTGTGGTGGAGGGTGTGATGTGGTACAATAATGTGCAACACAGGAGGTATGGTCCTATGCCTTTGAATCACACACAGTGTTATAAACCAATGTTACCTCGATTAAAAAAGTTACTAAAAAAATGAGCATTTTAAATTCTAAATACATAAAACTTGCTATTTAAACTAGCTTTCAGTATATAAATCATTAGCATGAAGTAAATTATAATGTATAGTTATAATGTATAACTATCACCACTACCCACTTCTAAGAATTTTTTCATCATCCTAGTGAAACTGTATCCGTTTAATATTAACTAACCTTCTCCCACCATAACCTTTGATAATTCCTACTTTTTTTTTTGGTCTCTATGAATTAACTGCTTTGCTTACTTCATATAAATAGAATCATACAATGTTTATCTTCTTATGCCTGGCTTATTTCATTTGGTATATCTTCATACATGTTATATCATGTGTCAGAATTTACTTCCTTTTTAAGATGAATAATATTCCACTGCATGCACACACTGTATTTTCCTAACTATTCACTCATCTATTGATAGACATATTTGGTTATTCCCATCTTTGGCTACTGTGAATAATACTGTCCATTTGAGTACCTGTTTTTAATTCTTTTGAGTATATACACAGAATTTGCTAGATTATATGCTTAGCCAATGTTTAACTTTATGAGGAGCCACCAAGCTCTGTCACAGCAGCTGCACATTAACAAGTGTTTGATTTCTCCACATCCTCACTAACACTTGCTGTTTTTCATTTTGCTATGACTTATTTATAATAGCCATCCTAGTGGGTGTAGAGTGGTAGCTCATTGTGGCTTTGATTTGCATTTTCCTTAAATGGGTCATGTAGCTGAACATGGCTGTACCTTGGCCATTTCTATATCGTCTTTGGAAAATGCCCACTTTTTTTTTTTTTTTTTTGTTCTGCCCTTTTTTCTTGTTCTAAGAACTCCCTATGTACTCTGGATTCTAAATCCTTATATAACTCCAAATATTCTTCTCTCGTTCTATGAGTTGTCTTTTCATTCTCTTGATTATTCCCTTTGATACAAAAAAAAGTCATTTTTTATGAAATCCATGTAATCCATGTTACCTATTTTTGTTTTCCTTTGTTGCCTGTGACTTTGGTGATAATTTCTGAGAAATCACTGCCTGCTCCAATGTAAAAATGGTGCTGTTTTGATACTTGGCACTTAGAAAATTTAACAAATGAAATTCTTTTAACCCCTCCATTTTCTATTCAGAGCACATTCTCACTTAAGTCTTACTTCTCTCATAGAGATGAAGAGAACCATACACCTAATTGACAACATAGTACCTGGGAGATGAAAGGCCTACCTTTTACTAAGCAAGCTGTGACCAGGGAGGAGTCACCTCCTTTTTTTGAGTCTACAGTTTCTTTCCTATGAGGTGAAGGTGTCGTATGGCATGGGCTCAAGTACCCATCCCAATTGTCAGCCCCACTGCCTGTCTATACAGGTTTAGACAGCATCCAGGTACACACACTCCTCACAGGCCAGGTCCGCCTTGGAGGAGACCCCTCCTTATGCTTACAACTAGGAACCAGAGGAGGACTTACGAGGGTGACGACTTCCTGGGCAATCAAGCGGCCTCCAGGGGCCCAGAGCAAGAAGTTCAGGAGGAGGTGCCGAATCAGTTGTTGACATGCAGGCAGTCTGGGGACTCCACCTCTGCTCTCTTCAGCTGCTGCCTGTACCTCACTGACTGAGAGGACAGGACTTTTGAGCAGCTTCATGAGACGGCTGAGGACTGCTTTCACTTCCATCTGGAAAGTAGCATGGCAACAACTGAGAGATTAGGATGGAGTCAGGACATGGTGGTTCTAGGATTTACTTGGGACTTTGAAAACATCTCCAGAGAGAGGAGAGGACTGGCAGCCGAGGAGGGAAGACAGAGGTGGCCTATGTCTGGGTTTGCACACTGCTCCACACAAATCCAAATGGGCGTAATGGAAATTTCTTGACTTTCTTTCGTCTTGCTCATTAAGCAGCCAGGGCACCGTGCCAGGAATTGACCTTTTTTTGTATAAAAGGAAATGGAGAAAAGTCCTCAGCAGAATGTAGTCAGATTTTATATTGTGGGAAAAAAGAACAAAAGACTCCTTGAAGACTCGCTCACTATCATAGCCACAAATCAATTAAAGCCCCATGCAATTGGACCTCCATTGAGCCAGTATTCTGATAAGAATGAGGTTTTTCCTTTTGCCTTTTGCTATCTTTGAGGGGGTGGGGGCAGGGAAGCACAGGAAATGAACACACAGACACACACACATGACATTTGTTTTGTTTTAGACACTGGGACAGTCTGTTCCTACATGTTTAAAGCTCAAGCACAGGTCACAAATCTGTAGAATTCATATAATAATGTTAATTGTTACTTTGGGTTGCTTTTTGCATAAAAATTATTTATTTCATGCTAAGATTTCTGCTTCCTATAAGAATGGTACACCAAGTTGTGATTTGGAAAACAGAGCAAAAACTGAAAACTGCAGATCCAAAATGCCACATGGAACTCATGTTCCATCATTTTTGAAAGAATACTTAGGCCTAGTCTGAGAATTCCCATGACCAATTTTATGGATTTCGTGTGAGTTTTTTCTCTGGAAGTTAAGGACTCATTCAATGAAATCTGTTATAAACTCTGGGACACTGGGAGTGCTGTGTGAGTTGTTCTGACCACAAGACAAGACCGTGAGAAACTGCAGCCCATGGCTCTTCCACGGGAATGCCAGAATCCCAGTGAGGGCCGTGCCCGCACCATTTCTCACCTCTTGTCCTACCCACATCTGGTGGTATCTGTTGGAGTCTCAGAACTTCTTGCCATCCAAATGGGTATCCCTAAGTCCTAGGGCACAGGAAGTCCTCATATTCATTTTCTTGACTGGCATTTCCTCTTCTACCCTTGTCCTGTATTCCCTAGATCTGGTCTTTCTATTTCACCCCAGACTCTCTTTCCCTTCCATTTCCTTAAGCTTTGCTCTGACATGTCAACAACTGTAAATGCTCTCTAATTTTTTCAGGAGAATATTAACTGTTTTTCCTAAGTTTTACTTTTTACCTTGCGTTATGAAAAATTTCTTTACTGTAGAGTTTGAGCTTTAAAAAAGGAAGAAAAAAATTAAATTGACTTATAACTCCACCATCCATTGACACTCACAACTAATAATTAGGATTACATCCTTCTTGCTTTTTTTCTGTGCATTGTTACACAGCACTCACTGTACATGATGACATTTGATCACATCTGTACTATATATTCTTTGAGAACATGGTTATTCATGCTGAATGCTGTTCCGAGGTTAGAACATGCCACAATTTACTTAACAAGAATTATGATGATTGAAAGTTTAGGCTATTTCCAATTTTTACAATTACAAACAATGCTGTGACTATTCTTATACACAAATCTTTGTATGGAACTCTAATTTTTTCCAGAGGATAATTCCTAGAAATAGAACAATACAGTTAAAAGAGTATGAATTCTACCCTTTTCTTAAGGGTATGTAAATAGTAATATTTTTCATTTGTATCATGAGCTCTTCAAAATTAAGGGAAGAAGATGACACAGGCTAGTAGAAAATAAGAGTCTGCAGAGGACAGTGGGGTTTTCATGTAGGTAGCACGTATCCAGCAATGACAGCTACTGTTGCCACCTCTGCTAACTCACTATTCTTGAAACTCAAGATGACAGAAGGAACAGTTCCACTGACAGGGCACTATCAGGACGAAGCCAGGGCTTTGAGTTAACTATGTCTACTAAGGCAAAGGCACAGAAACAGTCAAGCTCAAGTATATCTCACAAAAACAGCACTTCCAAGGTGATTTGTTTTGCTTCTCAAGTGACCCAATAGACTAGTAAAGGGATGAAGCTCACACAACCTGGGGGACATGAGGGATGTATTACTAGTTAAACTTTGCAAAATTGGCCCATGGATACTCACTCATGGGATGTCATACACACTCTGGTATCTCAAGCTGGACACAGAGGAAAAAGAGATTCTGGGGTCACAAATGTGATGTGTGACTTTAGTCACAAGGTTGTGGACTCTTTCTCACAGTACAGAAGCAGATACACTTCTAAACTTCTGAGTGAGCAAATCCATTTTTACCGTGGGTGCCTAAGTTTCAACTGTGTAAGAACTATGTACAGATTAAAAAAAAAAAGGACCAAGTTAACCAGTAGGAAGTTGTGCCAACGCAGAACTTTGTAGAAATTAAGTCTTATTTCTGTGTACTTCAAAAGTAAAACTTGACAAACTGGGTCCAAATTTTCTGATCAATGTGGAATTTAGCATATAGTCTACCATTTTAGCTTAGCTTACATAAAATCAGATATAAAGGGTATACAAAAGGGCCTAAAAAATCATTAGTGCTTTACACATTTCAATTATTAAAATTAAGATGAAAACACTTTTCCTCCCTGACTGTCTGAAGATTCGTCACCATCATGAACAACACAGTAACTATTGGGAATAAGAAGTTCCTGAACAACTCACTGTGGCAATGGGAATAGTCACTGATGCCTTTTACCCTAGGAAGGTTACAGAACCTAAGACAGAAACTCACGAAAAATTAAAATGTACTAAGCCTACCCAAAATGTCATTTCTGTCTTTGGATCCAGATCCCCATTTTGGAGGTGATAAGACAACTGGTTGTGGTATGATTTACAGTTCCTGGGATGATACAAAGGAAAATGAACACAGAGACTTGCAAAACATGGGCTGCATGAGAAAAAGACCTGGAGACAAGGACACACAAACAGAATGAAGAAAGTTGGGGGACTGCAAAGGCCAGTCAAGATTATGCAGTGACTTTATTGTGGTGATTATGCAGATTTCATGAGAGGATTAAGAAAGCCTTAAAAACATAAGATAGGGCCCTCCCTGGTGGCGCAGCGGGTTAAAGCACTGCCCTGAGAAGCTAAAGCCACTTCCGCATGAGTTCGATTCCCGCCTACCCCGGAGGTGACCACATGGCGTAGCAGACCTCTCCTGACCTGCCCGCTGCTCCCCTCAGCAGTGTACTTCGTCGATCTGCCTGTTCTGCTCCCCACTCTGTCTCTGGTGAAGCCTCTCACCGCCCCTGAGCCTCTAGCCTGTACCCTGGTTCTGTATGTACAAATAAATAAATTAAAAAAAAAAAAACAAAACATAAGATAAAAACATCATTTTCTTAATGTGGTATTTTAAAAGGGAAGAAACAGAGGCTCTTTTTTTTTTTATTTCAGACAGCATTCCTCATTTATATATATGTGTATTATTACCTTTTTTAAAAAAGTCCTATTTTGTATCTAATTATCATTAATTTCAGCATTTTAAAATCTAAAGCTTTTTCTTTCCCCTGACACAAAAGATTTTAAACAAATAAAATGTACCGAGATAGCTGTGCTTGTCTGTTTTTTTCAAGCAACAGAAAATATAAAGCATATAAAAGTAGTGACTATTACATCAATAAACCTTCTCCTTTTAATTATTAAAAGCAGCAAAAGCATTGGCTTGAACATTTTAAAGCCAGCAAATAAATATTTGTAATGGAAGTGCCAATGCTTTTAATCAAAGCACTGCTGCTATAAATATTATATTCCATGCAAATGAAAACTGCCTCTACCACAGTTAGCCTGCTCTGAACTTAGCTACTCTGTTATTTAGGAAATGACCAAGTCCATTTTCAGGAGCTAATTGGTTAATATCATTTAACTACCTTACAAAGGCTTCTACACAAAGCCAGTAATGTGAAGTCCTGTTGACTGATCCAAGATGAAGTAAGTCAAGACAGAAGCTGACTTAGCTAGGCACTGTTCACAAAGAGAGGACAGTGCCCCTCAAAAGTGTTCAGGCCCTGTGTGGCAGTCCCTAAAGGGCAGTCCCTAGGCCCAGCACCATCTATCAATAAGGACTGAGTAAGAACAGACAAGATGGCCTAAGGGACAGAAGGTGAGCCTCCTCTCCACGGTGCTTCCCAGGAGAAAAGGTATCTTGCCTCCAATAAACTGTGCAGGCAAGACAATGTCTCTGATTATCAGCATTACTGCCCCCGTCCCAACCAAGCCCACCCTGGGAGTCTGGGTGCTTTGGTGTCTACAGGTGTGGAGGTGGGTAGAAAATGTCAAACATAGCACAGGCCCCTCATGAAGGACTCTCTAAGCACTTGAGAGATCAATCCTGAACACCACCTACCATGGTCTGTGCTCGCTGCTGACTCCCATCACATGGGCTGTAATTGAAGGCCAAGAGCCACAGCAGGGCCTCAGGGGCTTCAGCTTCTGACATCACCAACTGCTCAGCTGTGATATCAGCCCATCCTCCAAAGTGAATGAACAAAAACCAGTTCTCAAAGGGGCCTCCAAAGGACCTGGAACAGAACCAAAACACATGGCAGCCAGACAACATGATTTCTTTTTCCTTTGGTTCTTAGAGCAACTGTAATACTTGCATATGGTTGGTTTAAATTGTTCTTAACCACTGAAGTACAACTTGCAAAAAGTACAAACTCAACTCAGAATAGCTCAGAATGCCAGAATACCACTCTGGATACATCCCACAACCTTCAGAGGCAGGACTCTCAAAACCCCAGGTGCTCCATGGACTTCAATCATTTAAGTCTTTACATCCAGGGACCTGAATGAGGACAGGTCTTTGAGAAAGGAAGATTTTGGCCCTTGATCAATAAGAATGATGTGAGAGGAGATGCCACTCTGCCTTCAGCATCGTGTACACAGTTCAACTGCTGAGGGTAGAGTCTTCCAGATACCAGGCAGCCACCCAGAGAGTTCCAGAGCAAGAACTGTAGGTCTGCCTGGGGCCAAATAAAGATGCAATAAGGGGCACAGTCAGAAACATGCTGTTTCTTTTCCAACAAAAGGTTGACATTTCAGCAATTAAAATTCTTGAAAGAGCTGTATATCCTTTCCTCTCATCATTTGTGGATTAATGTTGAAAGGTTAAAGATTTGTGAAGCTGTCCTGTCACACTACAAATCTGGAATTGCAATAATTGTTTGAAGGACAGAATCCATTTCAGCTTTGGAGTTATTAATTAAGCACAGTGGTCGGGGGATAAGTGAGTAACTAGCACCTGAACCTATATAATGACCATGAACATAAGAGTACCAGCCAATTCTGGGATGTTCAGGAGCTCAGTGTCACAAGGGAAAAGGGGCAAGACAGCCCCAGTAAGTTAGTACAGAGAGAGAATCAAATACTCTGAAAAACAAGGCAGGAGAGGGAGCAGAAGAGTGTTAGATTCCAAAGAACTGAGCAAAGCCTAAATGTGAGTACTTTAAAGAAAATTACATATAACACAGGACTTAATATCAAAATGCTAGGAATTAATGTGTTAGAATAAATTTTCTATGTTTTCACAAATATTTATTTAAAACAGGAAAACAACCACTTGCACATGTGTAAATGAAGTCTAACATATCCTTTCCTAGAAGTGCAGGGAGACCAAGAGAGGCCTCTTCTCCTTCTGGGTTCTCAGCACACAACCACTACTTATTTTCCTACGGTCTATTCTTCTTTGTCGTTCTGCTTGTGTATTTCAGAATCTAATGTCAGACATTAAACATTATTCAGAGAGTTTCTATGCCAGGGACTCATACCTGTACACCTGCTGATTCCAAGCTGCTCAGAGGCTTCAAGCAGTGTATTCAGGTGTATGGATCAAAGGCCTCTATCAGCCCTGCTCAAAGAGAAGAGAAGGAGCACAAGAAACCACATCTCAAGAAGACCTAGGAACTGTCGTGTTTGCTTACCCAGGAGTCTGTTCTTCAACTATTTCTCGGAGCATTTCAGAAATGTGTTTCAGCGGCTGAAGCCACAGTACCTGTGGAGTATCTGTAGGCAGAGCAAGAAAGATCACAGGAGAGCTCAAAAAAAGTCAAACGTACAGAATCATAAGGCCTTTTGTTTCAGTCCATGGAACTCACACTATCAATCTCTCGTTCTAGCCAGTATCCCTCTCTTAGGACTGAGGAGAAAGATCCGTCAGTGTTATTAGAGCTTAACCTCAAGGTTCTTTGACTCAGATGTACTGAAATACACAAAGACCACTTAAGCAGTTTGCCCCACAACTGAGAAATGGTTGCTAGAGCTTGTCTGCCTACTCAGCCCTCTCTACTAATAATTCATGATTTGAAAGTACATGGAGACTGTAATAAGACAGCAAGGAACTTGACTACAAATTTATGGTAAAGGAGAGGTCAAAAAAATTTTGTGTCATACAAACAAATGTCTTAAGTTCGTTTTTCTGATTTCATAATTGTACCATGGCTTTAAACATATGTAAGCATATGTGTATCTGAAGTTCTAAACAACATCTGAAAAAGGTTATTACATTTTCATGTTACAGAAGAAAGGATCCTGTACATTCTCCCTCCATGAATTCCCAGAGCTCTTGACACAGTGGCCTTTTGGAGGATGTTTAGTTTGCTTTAGTTCAGACACAACTCACTTTCTGTCCACTCTACATATTACTCCTGCTAGTTGGGGTTTCTAAGCACAAAACCAATTTCTGATGAGTACATGCTATTAAACAACACTTTAGTTGGTGAATATAATGTTCACTTTTTCCCTAAAAGTGTTATGTTGAAAATTGTTCTAGGAACTAGGAACCATTCTTGTTCTGTTGCTTGAATTGACTTATTTCGTCTTGAACATATATGATCACACAAAGGAAGATATAAATAGGCTGAGTTTACACTCCTACAACACCTTAGATTATTGTTTGTAAATTTACAAACCTAAAATAAACAACAATTTTAATACCTTTTCTGGAACTCAGAGGCTGATCTTGGGCATTGCAGGCCTGAGTCAAACTTAGTTGTGCTCCTGGAAGGTAAATTATTGTTTTTCTCTCTTATCCTTAAAGTTTTCCTTTTGTTACAGGACTGCTGACCGGAGAACCCCCACAAGGTAGCATGACCTCCACCTCTAATGTCTGAGACAAAGCTGGGTGGGTCACTAAGTGAGAACCTACATTCTTTGGGGAAAAGAGGAATTTACATTTTGTAAAATGTTCTGAAACTGTGATCTACTTTCCTGAAAGTAATCTACTTACTCAAGTCTCTGGGGAAAAGCAGACTAAAAAATGGCATAAAAGGAAGTGTTACTGATTCTTTTATTCTTTCCTTCCACAATCACAGTATCTCTTCTTCTCTATCATGGAGTCTGCTTGTGTTATTATGGTCTTTCCTTCAGATTTCAGGTTTTAGAGGGAAAGGATGTCTTTATTATCTATTTCTGAAATGTTTCTGAGACACAAGCCCATACGCCTGTTATGGAACTTCACTTCTCCCACTGGACATGGACTACAGAAGACTGATCTAAACCCCTATTGAATTATTTCAAAAATCTTCTTTTGCTTTGGTCAGGAGAAATTTCCCTGACATTTCCTTGACTTCACTCATCATTTGATCGTTTGTTCTGCAACAAAGGTCATGAAGTAGAAAAAAATGAAATGCAAGTAAATGTACTGTTTTAATCTAAATTAGCCAGGTGTTAGCCTGTTCCAGGTGGATCTGGGTGGTACCAGAGGTCTTGTGCTACTGGAACAGATGAGAAAGACCTAACTAGAAGCAAATTTTTCTTTTTTTTTGAACGTGATTACAATTGGGAAGTAAAGCAAATTCTCATATAAAAATCCAAAGGATCTGAGAACTTTAAGGATGATAGAAATGAACAATTTCATCTCCCATTATATAGGTAAGAAACTGGGAGAGAAGGTTATGATTTATCACTGCTATTTTAATATGGGGCAGAACCAACTTTCACATACCTTTTGGATACTGGAATAACATCATGACAAGAGATGGAGAAGCATAAGGAAAGTATGTCCTGAGTGCAAACTTAAGCTACAACAGAAACAAAAATTCAAAACCACATTAGTGTTAGGATTAGAAGTGGTGTTAATACAAAACCTTGCACTCTCTATAAAAAAAGAGCCCTTTTGGTATTAACATAGTGGGAATGTTTTCTTAAAATATATTTTTTAAAAAGGCATTTCCCAGTGGACAGTGGTAGTGAGATATGGGTGTTTTGTGGTGGGTGTGATGTGGTAACAGCACCCGAAGGGGAAAGCCTATGCTTTTAAAATATGAAAGAAGCATACCTCAATAATTAGCAAGTAACTAAAAAGCTATTTCCAATAACCTTGTAAATATGTTTCAGAAAAATAAATCTTTACAATCACTAATCTAAAATATAGGAAACTATAGGATCTAGAAAAAATAAAATTTTACTCCTGATATTCTATATCTTCACATGAATCCAATTATACACATACATCTTCTGTTAAAGTGAGAGCTTCCAATGTGGCTATGAGCACCTTAAAAAAAAAAAAAAGGCACAAAACAACCATAGGGCTTTATACTACTTTGAGGACCAAAGTGCTAAAGCTGTATAGACCCTCTGAAGGCTTTTAAATACTTTTGTAAAAATTAAGGTACCCAGAAATAGTTCAGTACACAGGCTTTAATTTATTTTTTAAAATAATTTACTTTATGCTTACAAGAACTAGGGTGTGGGCCAGAGGTGCAGGAATGGGTAGTGAAAAGATTCACCAGACACAAAGTAGGGAGCAGAACAAGCGGAACTACTGAAATACACTGCTGAGGGAAGCAGTGGTAGAGACAGGAAAAGTGGGTTACCTCCCTGTCTGGGGATCCAACTTGTATTGCAGTGGCTGTGAATAGCTTCACAGTGCGGAGACTTATTACCTTGCACCACTAGAGAGTCTGGCTTTAATTATTTTATTTTATTTTTAAAAATTAAAAAAATATATTCATTATATCATCCTTCATTTTGGTACAATGTATGGTCTGTGAAATTCCCATCACCAGTTCCCCCAGCACCATCACCATAGTCCCTTGTACTCTCCCCACCCCGTTTTGGTCGTTCTCCCTCCTGCTCCCCTACATAATGTCTCTGATCTATAGTTGCCTGATGATTTTTACTTTATTATAGTTAATTTTTGTTCTGATTCCTTTTTTTCCCCTCTACATTCCTCCTATAAGTAAAACCATTTGATATTTTTCTTTTCCTTTCTGGCTTATTTTACTAAGCATAATCCCTTCCAGCTCCATCCATGTTGCTGTGAAGGGCATGAGTTTACCCTTTTGATTGCCAAGTAATATTCCATTGTGTAAATACACCATAACTTCTTGATCCAGTTACCTATTTTTTGGCCATCTGGGTTGCTTGCATGGAAGTTCAACAAAAACAAAGTAAACAATTCAGTCAAAAAATGGGCAGAAGAGCTAAAAAGGCACTTTTCAAAAAAAAAATGCACATGGCCACAGGCATATGAAAAAATGTTCAACATCACTTGTAATCAGGGAAATGCAAATAAAAACCACAATGAGATACCACTTTACACCAGTTAGAATGGCATTAAAAAAAACTAGGAACAGTAAATGTTGGCGAGGATATGGAGAAAAAGGAACTTTCCTATGCTGCTGACGGGAATACAAACTGGAGAGGTCCTTCAAACTAATAAAAATGGAGCTTCCATATAATCCAGCAATTCCACTCCTAGGAATCTACCCAAAGGACACAAAAACATTAATTCAAAAGGTCACTTGTACCCCTAATTTACTGCAGCACAATTTACAATAGGTAAGTTGTGGCTTTAATTTAACTTTTTTTTTAAAGATTTATTTATTTATTCGTACAGAACTGGGGTACAGGCCAGAGATGCGGAGGGTGAGAGGATTCACCAGAGACAGAGCCGGAAGCAGA